GCGGCACCGCGGCAGCAGCCGGGGCAGGTGGGCCGCCGCCCAGGCTGAGGTGGCGCCCAAGACGCGGCTGAGCTCGCCCAGGGGGGGCAGCAGTAGCCGGAGGAAGCCGCCGCCGCCGCCGGCCCCCCCTAGCACCAGCGCCCCGGGCCGGGGGGGGCGAGGAGGCGGGGGCGGCAGGACGGGGGGCGGGGGCGGCGGCGGCCACCTGGCCCGGACCACCCCGGCCCGGAGGGCCGTCAACAAAGTGGTGTACGATGACCACGAGAGTGAGGAGGAAGAGGAGGAGGAGGACATGGTCTCCGAGGAGGAGGAGGAGGAGGAGGACGGCGAGGCTGAGGAGACCCAGGATTCCGAGGACGACGAGGAGGATGAAATGGAAGAGGACGACGATGACTCCGATTATCCGGAGGAGATGGAAGACGACGACGACGACGACGCCAGTTATTGCACGGAAAGCAGCTTCAGGAGCCATAGCACCTATAGCAGCACTCCAGGTACCCACCCAGCCCAGTTGCTGCAGACTCCTTCCCCACCTCCTCCCCCTTCTCCCCTCGCTCACTCCCTCTCTGGTCTCCCCCCCACCCCCTCCTCCCCCCTCAGACAGAGGGGAAATGCGACGGCACATCAAGTGGCAAAAAACTAGATTTACTAGAGGAAAGAGGCGCATTGTTCAAAATGGAGATTGCATTGTTGCAGTTCGCAGGCCACACACTCGCGCTCTCTCTCCCTCTCCCCCCACCAACCCCCTCTTTTTCCTCTTAAAAATTTGTGCCAGTGCAGTGTCTCCACCGGGCAGGGTTGAAACTTTGGCACACACACATCCATTGCATTCATTTTTCTCCCCTTGTTTTGGTTTGGTTTTTTGGAATGAAAGAAGCCTCTTGTTTTTGCAGACCTCTTTGCATTTCTAATGTGGTTTCTTTTAGATTTTTATTCTATATCTGTTCCTAAAAAGGGAATTCAGGATTTAGACAGATTGTGCCATACAAACACACACAAAACATCCTTGTCTTCACACCCCGAGCTGTGTGGTTTTAAAAGTGTCTTAAGGAAATAGATCAGTTGGGTTAGTAGGGGAGCCTTATCTGGTCCTGTGTGTTTGTTTTTATTCTTGAGTGCTAATGGGCGCGTGCAACAGTTGCGGGTAAATGGCCGATTAAAAAGCAAAGCAGAAAAACCAAAGGAAACCAAAACAAATTTAGTATTTCATCTGATTCAAAAGCATTTCGGTAAAACGCAAAATAAAATAAGAGACCTCAGGAACATGCGTCTTAACTAATTTGATGCCTTTGCCTGAGAAATGCAATTTCCTGTCACCTGTTGCAGAGACGTATAGTTGATCATGCAGACGCAATTGCTGAACTTTTGGACCAACTCCCAAGTCACACGGCAGAAGTATAGGGAGATTTATTGCAAAATGACTTTTTATTTTCATTCTGTTTCTGAGGATAATAGTCCTCCCTGATCTGTAATGAATTTCTCCATGGTGACTCCTCTCCTATTTTCTCAGAGTTCCTCTAGGCTTGTGCTGAGATACGTTTTGTTTATTTAAAAAACACACACATACACACACAATGGCGGCTTTGTATTAAATACGTACTTGCGGCTTACTAAATTGTGAAAAAACCCATAATTTATAGCGATAACCTACAAGACTTTTCCTTTATATTTTTGTTAATCTGGATTAACTAAATTAGAATCCAGTTTTCAGAGCATTTAAAAAGTAAAGTTCATGAGGGTATAGGATCTTAACAAAGTGATAAAGGTGTGTCACTTGTTTTTAAAAGAGACTAGGATAGTAGAAGTGATTAAATTTAAGTGTGTCTGTTTTTTTATAAATACCTAAATACTCATTGGAGGAGTATGAGTATTAAGTCAGATGTAAACCTGTTTAGATTGTCCTAACAGCACATGGAAAAGGTAATTTCTTTTGCCTGACAGAATATCTGCCTGTCTTTGGGGTCGGGTGTGGGGAGAGCTGGCAGGAGAACGAAGGGAATGAACCAAATGTCAAGTGTTTGTGTCCTGTATGTAGAAGGGACTACACACCATTCTTCATTTCTTGCCAACTTACATCTTTTTATAGTAATAGTTTTTACTTTAAGAAATCACATGTGGTCTTTTCTACCAAGAGCCCAGAATGGAAAGACCCGTGGAGAGTAAATTACACTATTGGAGGAAGTTTTCTCAGGTGAGACAGAGCTAAGGCGTTTTGGCAGGGTGGTTCAGCTAACTTTAACTTCTCTTTGAAGGCCTAGAAAATAATATTTAGGGTTGAGAGCCTTGTATATGCCGAGTTAAATTACAGTTTGTGGTTAGGTTTCCTTTTTTAAAAAGATGCTTATATCTTTATGTACTTCCATGACATTTCGTTTTTTTCTGATGACATTCGTAGTGCACCTTGTGTATGCTTGTCCTATCTTTACGTGAAATTATGGATTATATGTCCTTATATTAATCTTATACCCCCTGCATTTCCTAGTACAGCGTCTCTCACACAGCCGGTGCTCATCAGAGATTGGTTGGACAGATGATTGTTAGTAGGCGAGAACTTGTAATAGATGACGTTGTGCTAATTCTCCTGTGGGTGCCATAATTCCTAAATATTTTGGATTTGGGAAACTAAATATTGGTCTAATTAGATTTTGATACTTTGACCAGGGAATGTTTTTAGTAGCAGAGTTAGTGTGTTTTGAGCTGCTGTTTCATATTGCTTGCCAGGCATTTTCCTTTCTTTATTGGATGTGGTGTTAACGTGTTAGATGTTTTACTTTTTGAAACATTATTTCTCAAGATTATGGTAGAAGAGATGATACATTTTGCGTTCTAAACTTTTAGAATCCGTCTACTTGCCTAGAATAACAATGCATGACAGTGAGTTGTTTAGGCTAAGCACCTGTTTCATTAGTTTTATTGTCTGTACTTCTAGGTGAATGTGTATGTATGTGCTTTGGAAGGAAAAATGTTCTAGATGGTTTAATATCCCCAAAGCTCATAAATATGTTTGGTGGATTTGAATCCAGCTGTATTGTCGGGGCTCAGAGAGGAATATACTTTATTGGTAACTTAGAGAAGATGATTAAGCTTTGTAAACTAGAATGTTGGTTTAAGTACTAAATATTCAATTCCTAGTATAAGAAATTACTAATTCATCTATTGATATGTTGAGTACTTTGTAGGTAATATACCTGTTGATGCGAAGACATTGGTTGATGTTACTAGCTTAATTTTCTAAAACCATATATTAAAAAAAGTTTATTCACTGGAGGTGAAATGTTTTCCTTTTAATGGAGAGAAATTTTAAATGGGTACGTAAGGTACTCACATGACAGATATTATTATAGGTATAACAATTTGTTAATACAAAATTGAAATCATCTAGTTTTGCTTAAATTCAAGGCATTTGGTTGAATAAGGCTTTTATTTTTATTGTTAAAATTTAGAGTTATTTCAGCCTGTAGGTTTTATGACATAGTTGGCCAGTACATTGAGAAGGATTGTGTAGAAAATCTTTTGAATAGGCATTTGGTAAAGTTCTGACAGCACCTTGAAATCAAGCATTTTCTAATTCAAAAAAGTTAAATTAGACTTTAAACAGAATAGTTCTTGCTTTTAACTTCTGTGGAACTTCTGAGAATACCTAGGTGGTATTTTGATTTTTGTTGTTGTTGTTGTTTTGCGGTACGCGGGCCTCTCACTCTTGTGGCCTCTCCCGTTGCGGAGCACAGGCTCCGGACGCGCAGGCTCAGCGTCCGTGGCTCACGGGCGCAGCCGCTCCGCGGCACGTGGGATCTTCCCGGACCGGGGCACGAACCCGTGTCCCCTGCATCGGCAGGCGGACTCTAAACCACTGCGCCACCAGGGAAGCCCCTAGGTGGTATTTTGAAATTTGGAGCTTCTGATGACCTCAGAAAGCAAAAGCGCTGGTATTGCCCTGGGAGAGTTAGTGATTTATGTCCTCTAAGGCAGGGGTCCGGTACTGGTCTGCAGCCTGTTAGGAACCGGCCTGCACAGCAGGAGGTGAGCGCGAGGAGTGAAGCTTCATCCGCCGCTCCCCATCGCTCGCATTACCGCTTGAACCATCACCACCCCCCCACCCCACCCCCGTGCATGGAAAAATTGCCTTCCATGAAGCCCTGGTGCCAAAAAGGTCGGGGACCTGTGCTCTAAGGATTGCGACAGTGGAGATGGGTGGCGTAGGTGCCATGAATGAACTGTAGATTGATCTGAAGCAGAATTTGTTACCTGGTGGCAGTATTTATTCTCACCGGTGTCAACCAAGTATCTTTTCATTGTGCTTGGAATTCCTGATTGCTACAAGTGAGGTACGAAGTGCAGTGGAGATTTAAAGGAGGGAGAGATCATACCCTATTTGGGGGAGTTGGTGTGGGCGTATGCTTCCTGGATGGGCATGTGGCTAGTGAGGATGGACAGAAGAAGGGAGGGAGCAGCATGAAGCAAGACACTGATTCTAAAGTGCAGGCAGGCTTAAGTAACCTGCTTTAGCAAGAGCCTGAGTATGTGAATAGGGAATAAAAAAATAAAGCACCATTGTTGGGCAGTACTTAGAGAACCAGGCTATAGCATCTCCTCTCTCCCTCATTTGTAGGATAACAATTGGGGTAGATCAGTGATCCTCAGTCATTTTTCACTCCTGGAACACCCAAGGGATTTGCTGTATTCCTATCAGCACCATGTGGGAGCATGAAACAAAACCAAATCACATCGTGGATACTGTTAAATCACTGATGCAGCCAGTTCTTTCCCCCACAAATTGAGAGAATTAATGGAAGAGGTGATTTCTGAAGTCTCCCCTCCCACCCTCCTGTCTATTTCAGATCTGTTTCATTTGTGGGTATTGGGGATCAATCAGAAGATCTGGAAACAAGCGGGATATGATTTCAGGGGGACGTCAGGAAGTTTAGCATTACTTCCGTTCTGCAGGATGGATTGGAAGAGGACAGATAACTGGCGGGGATCTGGATGGGTTTTGTAGCCCTGGATGGGAAGATCAATTCAGGAGGTACTTCAGAATTCTTCAGCATCAGAAGTGTAGACAGAGGAATGCATCAGATATGCCTCTGTAAGAGTGGCAA